TATATAACTATTGTTATTTTAGTTTTCTCCAAATGCATTAAAAACTCAAGACTGATTTTAAAAAGTGATGAAATAGCAACTGCAGCACACCAGAAAGTAAATGTTTTCATGGGAAGATTTCTCAGCAGCTTCCCTTGATTGTCACAACTGTAGGAGACCTTACAAGTAAATGCACATTCTTGGATTAGCATCAGAGTGTACAGGAATGAATGGTGCAAACCTTACTACACAAGAGCCAGAGGGTTTGGCTTTTGACTAAATTACTAAGTGAAAAATGGTTCATGCCCTACCCCCCCCCAAAAAAAACAGGTTTTTTTCCTGTTATTTCAAAAATACCCTTTTTGGGGGAGGGGACAGAAGGGGTACAGTACTGGGGGTTGAACCTTGGGCCTAATGCCTCTACCATAACATTCTACCACAGCCACATACCATACCCACAGCCTCTAAAAATACTTCTTATACATCCCATAGGAAAGTTTAAAATATTCTATAATTTCAAATAAATAAAATGTACACTCATTTTTCTATTGAAAAAGTGCTTAGTGCTCAAATGTACATATTTTTTGACCTTTCTGGGTACATCCTTAACTGCCTCAAAGTTCTAGGGTATATTCTGTAAATTTGGTTGGAAATTGCTTTTATACAATAGATGACAAAAATCACAAACATCCCTTTTGTATAATAGGAATAGAAACTTGTATTTTGCAAAATTTTTCCAAGGCAGGCTACAAATAAAATTTTGACTTGTTGGAATCACTACTGTGTAAAGGAAGAATATTTTATGGGACATGGAATTATAGTTTTCATTTTTCCAGTGGCTTTAAAGGAGGATCTTACACGAGATAAATACTGGCATTTCCTTCCCCTTGACTCTCTTCTGTGGTCCAGATGTCTCTGTTAAGAACTAAAGCTTGACCGTTATCTTGGGTGTCTCCAGTAATGCAGAGCAAAATTAGTGCTTGGGCCTATGTGTGCTTCTTTCCATACAAATTTAATATTCCTTCCAAATCTGTCACTCCTTGAACGCTGGCAAAATTAAATCCCTCAACTCAGTCGCAGACACTTTGATGCTAGCCTTTGATGGGAAGGATTGGGCCTCTGTTGCTAGCTTCACTATAGCAGTCACAGCTCCCCTTAGCCAGGTCTTAGTTCAGCAGATGCAGTCTGAGAAGGTAAAGTGCTTTCAGGTTCCCTCACAGTAAGGACTTTGACCATGCCTTTCTGTTTGAAAGGACACAGAAAAATACAGCAAGGGAGCCCTTCATTGCAGTGTCCATTTTGTTACATACTGAGAAAATGCACAACTATTGACCAAATACTCTTGCTCAAAATGGTAACCCTATTAATTGTCAAGAGCAGAGCAGTGGTTCCGTTTTGTTACATTTTTTTTAAGGGCCATGATTTTTTAAGATACATAGAACAGCATAATATAGGAATATATATACATATATGTATAATTTTTATACTCTTTGTCTTTACAAAAATAGCATTTGTGTATGTAGTACCACTTGAGGTGTTTGTTTTTCTTTTTTTATTGTCTTTAGCTTAGACAGTGAAAGGGTGAATAAGTTGAAGTTCTAGACCAATTAGGTATTTACTTGTCTCATTTTGTGGGTTTGTTTTATGGTTGTTTGGCTTTTTTGTTTTGTTTTGTTTTGCTTTCCCTTTTGCATCTTAACCCTGAACCTGCTGAAAAAGCAAAATGGCATCATTAAATTTCAGCAAACTTTGGACATTGACATGTGTACTTGCATAGTATCCAATATAGAGATTTTACTTGGTATGTCTTAAACCTCAGGGAAGAGGCTGAACTCTTCTAATGCGACAACCCTAACGGTAGTCACATTAAATACAACTGCCACTGTAATACTGAGGCAGCTTCAATAAGTATCATACTCTCTTGTAGTTTGAAAGCATCATATGCCTTATACTTTATTTCTAAGCTGAATACAAAAGCACTAATACTCGAAAGCATTACAAGCATTTAGGCTACTTAAGTTTATAAATAAAATAATAGCTTTTGAATAAAGCTTGCTAGTACAAAAATAGGCTCTTTTCATTACTGGAGATCTTTAGATATTGAGGTCAAAGTGAAAAGAAGAAAAAAAAACATAACTATGGTTCCTGGATAAAAAGCTTAACTGCTGAATTTTAATTCACTTTTAATTGCAGAATTTAAAAGTTAATCTTAGAAAAGCTAATTTCAAAGGGGTATAGTAGTACACATCCCCAGTCTCAGCACTTGTGAGGCTGCCACAGAGAATCACAAGTTCGAGAGGCCAGCCTGAACTACATAAGACTAGACTTTAAAAAAGTTACTTTCAGAAATGTATCAGCTAAGTTTGGCGCACTGTTCACAAACTCCAGATTTGGTTTTAATATTCTTTCATAGAAAAATATTCAAGTGTACATAAATACTGTCATTTCCCTTCTCAGGGTTATACAGTAGGTATGCAATAAATATATTACAAAGCAAAGTCATTTAAATAATCTCCCAGCTCACCTTATCCTGGTGCATAGAATGACACACAAATTTGGAACCCCACCCCTAACTTAACAGTTTGATGTTGAAACAGTACCAAAATGACTATTAGGTAACAGTGTATTCTTTTTGCAGGTAGAGGAGAAAAGTTAAAAGATGAAGAGATATTTCATATATCTTATGAATTATCTCAGTTAATGATGTTGCAAAAATTCCTTCACTGGAAATACTTAAATATATATCTGCCCTCATTATAAGGTCCCAATGACAAACTGAATTCTACCAGTTGAACATGATCATTGAGCATGGTTGACAGGTTGCCTATAGGAGGATGGGTGACCCCAAAGCAGCAGCAGTGTCTGGCCTCCCCATAGTTGCATAGGTGAAGCTCTTTTCAACTAACTGCCCAGCCTGTATACTCTAGCACCTCCTGAGGCCACATGCAATTAGGATAGAATTGCATACAAGTGGCTGGAATCAGGTAAGGATCCAGTGAACCTCTACCCTCTCTTTCCACGAAGGAATATAGTCAACAAACTCATGATAGTCTTTTTGCGTGCTGGCACAGCTGATCTAATGAAGATGATGGCTACTTTGCTCAGAGGACTACATTCTACAGCAATAGCTGTAATTTGGAATGAAAATATAGACTCAGAAAAATATTTAGCAGTGTACACTCTATTTTAGATGTTAGGTGATATTCATTTATGTGAAAATCAAGGCAAATAGTTAAGATAATGCACCTGTATAAGAAAATTGAAACCACTAGACATCTGTTTGGGGCCTGTAAATCCAGTAATTTCTTAAGATTTATTTTTATTTGTTAACCATGTGTATGGGGGGGTGGTATGGGCACATGAATGCATTTCCTGCAGAGGCCAGAGGCACTGAATATCCCTGGAGCTGGAGTGACAGGGTGTTGTGAGATGCCCCACAGTCAGTGCTGGGAACCAATCTGGTCCTTTGGAATAGCAGAACATGCTCTTAACCACTGAGCCATCTCTCAAGCCCTAGATACACCAATTTTTAAAAACAATGAGTTCACTTGCCTAAAGAACACCCACGACTCCAGCTTGTTCTCTCTGCTTCATTGGATGGTCCATTTCAAAGGTACTGAGTTTTATACAATAAAAGCTTAGTTCAAACCAAAAATGTATTTCCTTCCCTAAGTGAAATTTCATTTATGAGCACATTCACAGTCTTTAACCACTCCTCTCAACTCAAAAAAGAAAAGCACTGATTATACAAAGAAAAGGTTGTGTCTTTTATATTTAATGCAGTGAATATGTAGTCAACATTACCATTGAGCTAAACACCTGAAATCTGATACAATGAAACACAGAAATTAGTCATCTGTTAATGATTACTGTCCACTAGGTACATCTGTGGTTATAGAATATCAGGCTTATAGACATCAGAGTAGACACTGTCAGCAAAGACATAAGTCTCACACAAGGTACAATCAGAATTTACTCCAAACAAATGATTTCATCAATAAACTTTCTGTAGTATCATCAGCTTCATGAAGTAGTATGTTTCTGCAACGAACAGTGATGGAATGCAGATGTAAGCATGTCATTTTAAACATGGTGCACTAAATAGAGCATATTGAGGTCAAAGCCTTTCTGTAGAAAGGGAATTTAATTGACATTCTTTCAAGCATAGTGTAGAAACATCAAAATAGTTCTATTATAAGAAATATTATTTAACAACATATTTCTAAAATAAAAATACTTTAAAAATCAGCTTTGATGAGACTTAAAGAATCTTTAGAGTGAAATATATATGTATATATATATATATATCTTTCTGCTTCTCTGCATTTTCCAACACCACCCCCACCTTCACCCTATCCTAGTTTGTTATTAACAAAGTAATGCAAAACATTGCAGCGATTTCAACTGCATTTGAGTTCCCTAACAAGTCAGTGATGACATTCTCACTGATTATTTCTCCAGAGGTACGCTCCCTTGATAGACCCTGGAGTTAGGTACAAAAGCTACAGTAAGTCTTGGGAATGCTGTTTTTAAGTATAGATTCTATGGTTAGGGAAACATTGTTAAAGATAACCCCCTCTCTATAAGCAGTTTATTTTACAAAACAGGTTTTCATGCATTTATTATCAAGAATGATTTTTTTCATAAATGAATGTAATGAAACACTGGCCTATCAGCACACTACATCACTATATTCTCCTCTACATTAAAACACACTAAAACAAAATTCATATGCATTAAATCATGTCAGCAATCCAATGCAAAAGCAGATCCTTTGTTTTTTTCCTGTGAGAACACTTCAATATTAAATATTTCTTAGATGCACAAAGGTATAATTTAACACGAAATGCAGTATGGATTTAGTTTACTAGTATTTGTGACAACTGAATTGGGTTGCTAATTTGCTAACTCAGTATAAATTAAATAGTGGTAGATATAAAAATTCTGATAGGCAATCATGTATAAACCTGGCAGTATTTATTTTATATAGTACTGGAGAGATTTAAGGTTTTTAGATGGAATGATAGAAGGCCTATAGTTTTTCTTTATATAATCTCAGGTTCACTTAAGGGGGTTGGGGAGTGGGGATAGATGCACTTGTACTCAGCTTAAAATCAGCCTAGCCATACTTACATAATTTGCACAGGAGTGAAAGTCGATCTATGTTAAATTGAGAGTATCCTTTCCATTATTCGGGCTTTGGGGTTTTCCTCTTTTGAAATGTATAAACATAGAAAACTAATGGATTACTTTTCAGTTAAAAAATAGTCACAATTAAATAAAATCCTTAAAATCAAATAAACATTTTATGTAGGGTCAATTAGTGTAATTGAGCATTTAATCTGATATTCTGTTTCTTTTAGTTGTAATTACAGAAATGTGTATCTTCCAGTTTTATAACCCTTATTTTTGTTCTTTCAGTGTGTTATATTATTATCCATAGCTAACTAGGCTTCCACAAAGCACTAGCTAAAGACCTTTATCAAGTTGAGTCTGTACAATAGAAGTATATTTTCAAAGACGTATGCCTTTTGTACACTATTTACAGATTCTCTCGATCATGATAAAAAGGCAAAATAAATAAAAAGCAGAAAGAAAGGAAATGCTGCTGAGGCTGAAGGCTTTTTCTTTTATCTTCCCAAACAGATGCTGGTCTCCTCAGTGCTGGGAGCTGGCTAGCCAAGATTGTTTTTCTTCCTTTTATATGGGCTGTGAGAAGGATCTGGTTTCAGTTCTTGGTATTGCACCTGTTTAAACAGAGTTCAGAGAAAGACTTGTCAGGTGGCCACTTTCTGGCAAAAGCAGGAAAAGCTAAGGAATGAGAAACTGCTTGGAGGGAAAAGGGGTGCTCTAAAGGCTGAATGGGATTTCTGGGTGGGATGTGGAAAACAATACACTCATAGAACAGAAGTCAGGAGGGAAATCCTGCCAGAAATGCATGAAGCCCCATGTGAACCTTGGTAATGGACTAAGACTGTCACTGACCATAGCAAAGTACACTGAAAGAAAAATCTATTTTTTAAGAGCTATATAATGATTCTTTGCAATTTGTAGTTTGTTAAATAGTCTTAATCTCCATCTAGCCCACTGTCATGTATATGAAATGTAAACTTCAACTGAAGGAAATGGAAATTGGTTTCACTATAACCCACATGCAACATTTTGCTAAAAACATTTATTTCACTCTGAAAAGAGTTGATAGTTAATAGATTTTTAACCCCCAAAAGGATTTATGAGGTGTGTTACGGTCTCTAAAAAGTAGACTTCCCCATTTCTAAAATATGCATTAATGTGCATCATTAAAATACATTTAATTTATGCAATATGCACAAACTGTTTGTAACCACCCATTTTGCTTTCATCATCTACATCTAATATTCCTATTTTTCTCTCCTCAGGTCATAATGACATCTCTTCATATTTATTCAGAGTGGCTTAATTGGAGTATAGTTCTCCCTGATAGCGCTGGTAGGTTCCTTATGCAGTGACTTTCATTTTCCTGTTTCCTATTCTTTTCTATAAGTTTTTCCTTGATTAACTCCAAGTTGTCTAAAATTCCAGTTTGGTAAGATCTCTTATGGGCTTTATTAACTTTAACTGGCTCCAATACTTTTAACATTAAAAATATATAAAAGTTAAAACCTAGTGCCACACTACATCAAAATAGGAATCAATGAAATCTACATACCACTTGTACATCTGAAGGGACTCTGGAAAGGAAGTCAAGTAGTTCGTTGTTATCAATTGCATACGGACTCCGAAGCTTTTTTGTAAATTTATTTATGCCTAAAAAAGTGACACGTCAGACATTATTGAAATCTCCGAGGTTTGGAGTTGGACAAAAGCACATTTCTGGCAAAAGTAATGCAGTAATTTGAACATCTGTCTTGTATGATTAGCCTGAGCCTTGACAGAGTGAACTACTAGTTCCTCTGCCCTGCCTTCTCCATTTTACTTGTTCCTTCCTTTCAACCTCCCAGGTGAGATGCTGCTTTCTTTCGCTGTCTACATTTCAGTACCTTCTTACCAGCAGGCTTTGGGGAAAACAAAGCATTTCCAAACCCTCAGTGTTCCAGTCCATACAAGATTTGCTTTCATGTTTAGCCTTGGTGAAATCTGTTTTACTACATTTCTAGATTGAGATTGCTCAAGCAAGAAGTCCAAAGATACACATTTTATGGGGAGGTGTTGTCATAAAGCAAGCTAAATGTTTAGAAGACACATGACCATGACCTTAGTGGTTTTTTGTTTGTTTGTTTGTTTGTTTTTCCAAAGCTGAAATGAAAGATACTGCCATGAACTTTTGGGAAAAAAGTAATCAGAATTACATGAAATCAACACGCCGGTTAAAAACTTATAATAAGCTAGAGGATCTTGGCTCTTTGTGCAGTTTATCCAGAGTGAACTTGTTCTTGGTCTTTCTCCTGCCATGTAAGACCTGTGTCTTGGGTTGCCTGTTAATATTTCAGCAATCACCTACCACCAAAGGAATAGTATTCTTGTTTTATTTCATTTGATGAAACAAAGAGGCTCAAACACATTCTGTTAAATTATTTTTAAGACAGCTAGCCAATGAGGCCATCCCAGGTTACATGGCCAGATGTCTGCCTTGCGCTCCAGTTTCTCAGAACCTGGGGAAGATGAGTAGGGGGAGGGGTCCTTTGCTACCTTAGCAGCAGACATAGCTCTGCAAATCTGGCTCTAGATAGGTTAGATGATTCTCTACCCTTAATCCTTCAGTGAAACAGTATCTGTTAAATATCAGAGAAAGGAATAAATAAAAGATTTGGGTTTAATAGACTAGGAACAAGAATATGGTGAAAATGCTTCATTGCTGGAATAGTGGAAGTGATGTCTTAATTGAATTTCTATAACTGGTAGAAATTAGGAAAGGAAAAAAATCCTCTAACTTCCCTACCCTCCATCCAGGGTCTGCAGGCAGTGATGATGATTATGAAGAGTCAAGGGGTCTGCTCAAGGTAACAACATGGACCAAAAAGAAAAAGAAAATAGGAATCTCAAAACTGGAGGACTTGGAGATTCAGTCACAAGTCATTTTCTTCTAGTATATGTCTTTCAAAGCTTTGAAAAGAACAAAAATCCCCCCTTTGGTCTCTTTGTTTACAGTGTAAGCATGTTTTCTGAAGTTAAGATCCATTTTCTTCTTTGTATTAATTTTGGTTTAGCATCTTAGTTGTATGTGTAAGTGAGAGGTGAATAGATAATGTTTCTATATGGTAGTAGATCTTAAGGACTGAGTATTTGGTTTTCCAAACCAAATATTTCACCAAGAAAAAAATAATAATAATAAAGCTCTGAAGAATACTAAAACTGTTTCCTAAATGGAACCTAGGGTCAGAGGGATTGTTGTCATGTGGCAGAATTGCATTAAATATTAGGAAGGAAATCACCTTTAAAGTAGGCTTCTGTAGAAGCATTCTTATTCAGAGATGCTAACAAGGCTTTTCCTAAATCCTAAAGGTGACCTTTTAAACAAGCAGCCGTGTATAATACCATGTTTACATACACTTCCACAAGATAAAGTACCACAACAAAAAGTATATTGTGTTAAATGCACTGTATGGTCCAAAACGCCTCTGTAGGTATAAGTAGTATATGTATAAGTAGTGAAAATAAATCAGCACTATCTAGACAAAGTTATACCTTGTTATATGGAGAACCTGTACAACTGCATGTTTATAGTATGACAGAACCTATGGTGCCAGATAAGAAAAATGCCTTTTTCAGGTAGACCTAAATCTTTATATTGCGGTGATTTTTTAACTGACCTGTCTCTTCATCATGGAATACCTACATGACTGTAAATATTGAAAACTATTGACCATATAACTCATCCTTAAAACAGTTTGCTCTTAGCCACTAAGACAGATGTATTGTTTTGTTCTTGTTTTATTGTTTAAAACGCTTTACTTACCCCAGACAAGGACAATGTATCTCAGTGGGATGAAGTACAGGATAACTGTGAACACACAGAGGGCTACAATGGCCAGCCAGCTTAAGAATGGCACAGTCCAGTTGAAAGTACTGAATGAAAAATTAATACATCACCATTCTGAGCACACACTTTTTCAAAACAATATGAAGATAAATTAAGAGTTAGTTGACTCTCAGAGCACATAGGTTAGTCATAACCTGTCAATTCATGAACAGAGGGCCCAAGTAAAGTTCGTGCTACCAACCCCATCATGTTGTCCTAAGTGATTACAGAGTCTAAAGCCATTGTACAACTTGGGTATCTCCCTACATAGTAAAAATATTCTTGTCTTCCTGCTCTAAAACTAGTACCTATCCTTGTGTATTTTAAAAATGTATCCAGTAGAATGCCTCTAGGCCTACCACTCATCCTTATACCAACTCTCCATATTCCCCAAACTGGGAGTAAAATATTTGTAGTAATTGTCTATAGATGCAACTCCTAAAACACTGTGTAAGCCACTAAATTTTAGGATTCCTTTAAGGAATAATCATTTCCATTTTCTTCAACCTTGTTTCAAATGGAACCGGAAATCAAGAAGGGAATAGAATAGTTGGCTTTTTATTTGCTGTCATTGCCCTTTCCTAGAAATGTCTGGGTAATTAAGAAATAAAGTCGGCACTGCCTACTCTTCTCCTCTAGTATTTTTGGCATAGGAGAGCATGGGTTATAGTGAACTTGAGGGATAAGCTGTGAGAAATTAGTGCAAACTGGGAAAATGTGATTTATAGCAGAGTGGGGCTGATGGGTCTTCAGTGGAGCTGTACTGCTAGCAATTGGTGATGAAGAGCTGGGCAGAAAAGGCTATAAGGCAATATTGACAGTATGATGGTAACAGGATAGACCCAGAAGTAGAGGAAGTTACAAAAGACAGAAGAAAGGAAATGAAACTTAGTGGGTCAAAATAAAAATAAAGGCAAAAACATGGTGCAGAAAACTTGAAAAAGACAATGAGACAGTCAAGGAAATGGGAGATGGAAGGAATGTGATCTGAAGGTGTTTATTTTTTGAGATTAGGTCTAGTCCAGGATGCAGTCCAGGATGGGCTGAAGTCACTATCAGTAAAGCCCAGGCTAATTTAGGACTTGTAGCAGTTCCTCTGCTTCAGCTTCCCAAGTGCTGGAATTGTAGGCATGAGCCACCATGCCCAGCTCATTAAAGGCTTTTTATGAAGTTCTGATCCAATACAGAGTGATTGCTAAGAAAATTTCTTCTAATGCTCTGCCTCATCAGAACACTGAAGAATTGCTCCTAAGCTTTGTACATGTAGCTTGCTTTTTGTGTCTCTCTAGGTCAACCATTTCCTAAAAGGGTTTTCTATAGTAGGAAATCCAAAGTTGAATCAGTCTGGTTGTCCTGTTTTCAGTAATCCTTGGAATCAGTCATTTTTTTTTATTGTTTTTGAGTTTTTTTGAAACAAGCTCACAATATATAGCCAAGTTCACCTCAAACTCATATGTTCTTGCTTCAGCCTCACTAGGGCTGAGATTATAGGTGTGTTCCACAGCTCCCAACTGAAATCTGGCTTTTCTGTCTTTATATTTTTCTCTCTTGTGGTCACAGTACTTTGTAACTCTCAGCAGTTAGTGGACACCTGTGCTTCCCTTACTACTGCCTGCTTGTGGAGAGAACAGAAGGCCAAGGGTCTGCTTGCTTTCCTGTGCTCAGTTTAGAGCCATCCATCCATCTATCACATGCTCCCTGGGTGAGGGCACTGGCACTTCACTTAGAAAACCTGCTTTTTGGGCAGCCCTACTGAAGGGGTCTCTGTGTGTCCTCACTTCTGTTGGAAGGATAAATGGCAGAGAATTCTTACCAGTGTGGCTAATACTATTGGAAAAAACCTTGCCCTTTTCTATTTCCATACTCTATGTTATGGAATCTAAATCTAGAATATGCTCTTTCCCCAAAGATAAAAGAGTTGCAATTCAAGAAAGTTCTGGAGTGATTATTTGGAAATAAAATGTATTTGCACAGGCTTTTCATTTTGTGCTTGAAGATTACTTCGGAATCTGCTTCCTAGATAGATACTTCTAATCCCATGTGACCTCAGAAATTTCACTTTTTTAGTATCCCTAATATTGTTGTGCAGAAGAGATCACCCCTTGAAGACTCATTGGATCTCAGGTCATATTCCTGGATCTTAGAATGGAAAGGTGTACAAAGCCCAGGTTTCCTCAAAGGCTAATCCACAACCAGGATTGAGGATTGAGTGGTGTCTTTCAGCTGGCCATCATGTTCTCTAGCCAAGCGTCTGTTCTGAGGCCTCCAACCACACAGTTAGGAAGTTGCTCTGTCCCATCTGTTGCTCACTAGCCTGACATCCACGGAAAACCAAGGTCTCTGGTATAAATGAGATATTTGTATATATCAGCACATATTGTGACATAATACTCAGGAAAGAAGTGCCCCAAATTTAGGGTTTCATGCTGTGCTTTAATAGATAAGGAATGGGGACAAGGGAACATTATTAAGAGAAATAACAGGTAAATGGAGAGAGAAAAGGATTTGAATGAGTCTTTAGAATTCTGAGACTGAATGTTGCCTAGAGACACATTTAGGAGTGAAAAGGAGTTGGTTTTGTGTAGTACAATGTAGAAAAGTTAAAACTCAGCACCTATGCATATGTGGAAATGCATTAAATAAAAATTATACAAAATAAAATGCATTAGCCTTTATACATGAAAGGCACCAGATGAATGACTCATACCTTTGGTTTAAATAATTTACTCCTTTTAAATCCTGTGCATGTCCAAGGATCTAAGTCTGCAGAATACTATTGGTTATGAATAATAAACAATGAGTAGATATATGAAATCAGAAAATATGGACTTATCCAGATACAGAGCAGCCTTTCTTAAACAATTATTAGCAGTTGCTACAGAGACTAGTTTTGATATAGTTGACTAGTACATATTTAACTCATAATCACTTATTGTAAACACACCTTATTATATTTGTAAGTAAATCATTTTAAAAGGTATATTAGAAGCCAAGTGTGCTGGCACTCAGAAGATGGAGGCAGGAGGATCAGGAGTCCAAGGTTGTCCGTGGCTACTTAACAAGTTCAAGGCTAGCCTGAGACACATGAGACCCTGTCTCAAAAGACAAAAAGCAAACAAAAGTTTATTAGTAAATAAGATTATTTATAAGAAAACACAGTCTAAGATTAAGAATGTAAGTTCCTTAATTTTACATTTGATCCCGGTGAAACTATACTTCCTCATTTAAAAAAAATAAAGGAGGGATGGAGAGATGGCTTAGTGGTTAAGGGTACTGCAGAGGACCTAGGTTCTGTTCATAGAACACATATGTTAGCGCACTTCTATCTGCAATTCCAGTTCCAGGGAATCCAACATAATCTTCTGGCTTCTGCTGGCACTGCACACATGTGGTGCACATCCATCCATCCAGGAAAAACACTCATTAAATAAAAATAAATAAAAAATTTAAAGGGATTCTATTTTTAATTGTGAAAATATGATTTTTTTTTTTGGTATTTTTGAGACAGGGTCTCCCTGTAGCCCCAGCTGTCCTGGAACTCACTATGTAGACCAGGCTGGCCTTGAACTCATAGAGATCCACCTACCTCTGCCTCCTGGGTGCTGGGATTAAAAGCATATGCCACCACAAAAATATGATTTTTAAAGTGATAAAATATTGGTTTGTTTCATGGATAATTATCTCAGTCATTTAAGCAAAGAACTTTGAAAGTTTAAGAATATTTTTGTAGAGCCAGGTGTAGTGGCACACATCTTTAATCCTGCAGTTGGGAGGCAGAGGCAGGCAGATCTCTGTGAGATCAAAGCCAGCCTGGTCTACATAGTGAGTTCTAGGCTAGCTGGGACAACAGGGAGACCCTGTCTCAGAAAACTGAAAACAAAAAAGACTATTTGTAGATTGCTATACATTTTAAATTTAGAGAAACTTGGTGAAAGTATAACTAGACCAATAATACAGTACAGGTATCTTGATTACCTAAGTCTTCTATTACCTTGGTTTATTTTTTTTTCAACCATGATTTCATATTCCATTTAAGAACAAAGTCTTTCACTATGAAAAATGTGCTAAAATTTAGGATGGTGTTATTTCTTCAACACTACAAGTATGACTTCTTTTCAGCCAATATGTTCTAAATTTCAGGGAGGAAATTGACAGAACTGTCATAAAACCAAAGGCTAGCAGAAACCAAGTGGATAATTCTGAAACTGGACGTAGATCACCCAGGAGTGACTCCTGCCAGAAAGAATGTGGCATTTCACCCTCCGAGAGTCAGCGGAGTGTCTTACAGAAGGTGGGGCTCACGTGGCAGCATCACTCACTTCTTGATCCTTTCGCCAAAAGAAGCCACTTCGTCTAAGATGTTCTGAACACTGACACATACTTCTTGGATGGCATAGATTTTATTTATAAATCCCTTTTTTTCACTGTCCTAAAATGCAATAAAAGAAAGAAATTCTGTATGAGTAACAGCTATTCTTCAGTGCTGGTATTCTTTGGTGCCCCTCTTAGATTCTTAAGATTAAAGAAACTTTATGTTTATATAAATGGATATTCGGAGCTCATGAAAATTTCAAGATAAGGAGCATAAGGAGAATTGTATGAGATTGTTGCAACACAGGAAACATGAATTCTATTGCTCTTACTCTGACGAACAAAAACATGGAGGTGGGAGTTGGCGATGGTATGTACACATGAGGAAGAATTGCAGATCTAGAGTTTGCACTGACCCAGACCCACTTAGCAAACCCAGTGTCTTTTACAGGGTCTCAAGTAGCTCAGGCTTCCTGGAATTTGCTCTGTAACCGAGTGTGACCTTAACTCTTGATCTTCCTCCACCCTCCTGTGTACTAGAATTGTAGGTGTGCCACCTCACCACACCAGGTTTTATGCTGTGCTGGAGACAACCCAGGCATCGTGTGTGCTAGGCAAGCAATCTATCATCTGACCTACACCCTGGTCCCAAACCCAGTTTATTGACCCCACCGCCCACAGACCTAAGTTTAGTAGTGGCTCCATGTATTTCCTTTCTTGTTTTTTTTGTTTGCTTCTGTTTAGAAATTGAACCCAGGACTTTGGGAAGCACCCTACCTCTGACAATCACTGAACTGCTCCCCCAGAATTTACCAAATACTTAAATACTTTAATAGCAGAAAAATACTGGGTACAAATGAGAATATCTGGGAGCAGAGACAGCTATAAAACATGACAAGAAAAACTAAAATCCATTAAGTGGAGACTCCTAGATCAGATTATTTACTAATCAAAAATAATGCTCTCATATCCTGCAGTAGTGTGCTATTACTCAAGGTTCTAACATCTTTCTTTTTGCACATACTCAATCTAAACCTTGTGCTGAATTTAAGCATAGCTTTCATACTCCAGGGAATGGGTGGGAGAGGATTAAGTATAAAGCACCATGAAAGTGGTGTGAACCTAGGGGGAAAAGTGCACATTTTGTAAATTTAAACCCAAAGGAAGAAATAGTAGTGGCCTTTCACGATTGAATTCTGCTTGGTAGCCTGGCATCACAGACACTTGCCTAGGTTGTTTGGTGGAGACCATCCAACCCTGATTCCATGACTCCATTCCTCCATGCCAGCTTGAATATCTATGGAAATGTAGATCCAATTTCATTACTTTAACTTCTTCTGAACACTTGCATACTATGCCAGAACACTTGAGACCTCATGTGGCAGTTAGTGCTTGCTAAAAGCAGCCAGAAAGCTAGGATAATAATGTCATGTTGCACATTTGCATACTGACTTTTATTTCAGAAGAGTCTAAACACTGTGCACTGTGAACCCTTGGCCAACCCTGGTGTTCTGCCACCCAGAAACCAAAAGCAAATGAATCACAGGTGCACATGCATTCTCCAAGACAGCTCAGTACCCTGGGGCCAAAGCAATTTTATAAGTTGATCTTTAGTGTAAATACAATCAATTAGAGCTTTCATCTTTAATTTATATAGGAGAAATTGTCTATGTTAGTTATCTTATGCCAAAGCAGATTGTCAAGTGAGGTACATGAGGGACACACTAAGCCCCATAATAGCATAGGAAGCAGTTAGTACCCAGAATTCTCCATTATATTAAAAAGTCATCCTTCATGTGCCATGATAGATACATCAATTTCTTATGTTTTCTCTCCATTTGACCATATAAAATACACTAATTTCACCCATGTAATCCTATGTAATTGTACATTTTAGAATAAATAAATAATATTTAGATTATATAACCAGTGGTTCTTTCTAGTTGTTTTCATAACAACAAAGTTGGTCTGACCCTTAGTGGTTTCTTCTAAGTACCAGCTAAGTTCTTTTATGTCCTGGAAGCAAAGTGCTCTTATAAATTATTTATCCTGTGTGTAGCAAAATAAACTGGGAGGCCAGGGCTATATGTCAGTGGTAGACTGCATGCTTAGCATATACAAAGTCCTGGGTTCAATCTCCAGCACCAAAAAAGAAAGAAAAATAAACAAGTTGAAGTATGCTGGTTGTACAGTGAACAGTCCACTGAGAATAAGATTCCTGCTTGAGACTGTATGCTGTTCCTTCACAATAACCATAAAATACTTAGGTATAATCTTAAAAATTATGAAATCTGAAAACATAGAAATATTTCTATATTCCAATGCAGAGTATTAGGGTTTTTAATGTATAAATTTATTGCAATTTCAAGCAACTCTTATGTTTGGAGAAGTCTGAAATGGAGAGAATTTGGCAAAATATTTCATTTTTTAATATTTGACTTATTGTTTTTATTTTATGGTATTAGTGTATTGCCTGCATATGTGTGAGTGCACCTGCATTGTGCATTGCCCACACTGGTCAGAAAAGGGCATCAAATTCCCCTAGAACTGGAGTTACAGATTGTTATTAGTTGCTTTGTGGGTGCTGGGAATCGAACCCAGGTCCTCTGCAAGAGCAGCCAGTACTCTTAACAGCTAAGCCATCTCTCCAGCCCCTGAAAAAGTACTTCTAAAATTTGTTTCGAAGACAAATATGTAAGTATAGTCAAGACATTTTTATAAAAGGGAAAATAATGAGAAGGCACTTAACAGATCAGGTACTTAAGTAATTAAAATGAGATATGGGTATTTAGAGAATGATAGCTAATAAGGCACCATGCCACGTGATGGTGCATGCCTGTAATTCCAGTATTTAGGAGATGAAGGCAGGAGGATTGGGAGTTCAAGGCCAGCCTTGCCTATGTAGGGAGTTCAGGGTAACTGGGCTACATGAGACCCTGTCTTTAAAGAGGGGAGCAGCAGCATCACATGGAAGAAAATATGTTATTGAGCAATTAAAATAACTACATAATACTTGGAGAAAATTATGCTAAACCCTACCTTAAATAAACTCTCAACTCTGAGATCACCCAAGTCTACGTCAATCTCTACTTAAAAAAAAAAATCCAAATACATTCTAAACTAATTTTTAAAAGCTGAAAATGAATTATATAAAGATAATAGATAAATAAGTTATTTACTTACATTGAATAAGAAATAACTTTCTAAAAACAAGCAGTAAAAAAAAGTTTTACATAGAAATTATTTCATAAAATTAAAAACTTATTATGTCCAAGGTCAAAAATTTAAAACAGTTGGGCTGGGGTATAGTTCAGTGGTATAGCATGTGCTTACCATGTGGGAATACTTGGGTTTCATCTAAACCACCAAAAACAAGTTTTAAAGGATAAGTAGGAAAGGATTTGCAACAAATACTACAAATGATGGGATGATGTTGGCAGTTAAGCTCACTCAATAGACACCTAAAAATATTTCCATAACAGTTTTGTTTATAAATGAGAAATCATTAACATAATGGGTAAGATTAATTATGAAATCAGAAAACATTTTAGAGTCATTAATCATGAAATGCATGTGATTATTTGAAATAAGTGGGGAATAAGTGTGATATATAATATTCTAATCTTTTAACATTTTATATTTAGAATGTTTCCTTGATTTTTTTCCCCTAATATTAAAGAAACAAATAAATTAGAACTACTTACTGGGCATTCTTTTACTTTGGCTCTTTTGTTTGATTGTTACTTGGTTGGTTTTGGTTTTGATATTTTTGGGATGTGGTCTCCCTATAGCCCCAGCCCCCTGGAGCTCATGTAGACCAGGCTAGCCTCAGTCTCCTAAATGCTGGGATTAAAGGTGTGTGCCACCACAACTGGCTTTACTTTGACTTTTTAATCTATATTTTTCATTTTAATAAGCTTTCTTGAGTAATTTTGGAAAGAATATAGAAATACATGCTCACTGAGTACTATAAAGTACTTCTCACTATACTCATTCAATCCTCACAACCATCCTACAATATATTTTTCTCCATGCTATATTAGAAACTGAGGCTCAGAGAGAACTGAAAGAGCTTAGACTGGTGCTGTAGCTGGCCGACTTCAGTCTGTTCTCTCCATAGTACATTATGTTACTTCCTTATCCTTTAGGAAGATTTCAGTTCTTCCCCCAAAACTTCAGTAGGATAAGCAAGAAAGGTTTTTAAAAAGTAAATATTTACATGTAGACCCCCATGATCTTGCCTTGAGGCTCATCATGAAGCTAAAATCTTCAGCAAGAAAATGAAATGTAGAAATTTCACTGGAAGTTAGAAGGTGAAGATGTATTAGAAACAACCATGTTTAATGTTAACAATGTGCTGCAGTATGGCACTTTTGGTAACAGGTGTGTCAATTTAAGCCATTAAAAGACAGTTTTTGAATGAATACTTTAAAATCTAAATGTTGATGTATAATTTTTGGCTAAAATTCTTTAATACTTGGCTCACATAATTTTCTTTGTTTCTCCATCACTGCTGAATTACTGCCACGCCCATATCCCTATCCACCAGAAGACAAAATAAGATGGGCTTGCTGTAAGGTTGCTAAAGTTTGGGGAAGCAAATACTTTGGGGTAAAATCTTTATTGCAAAATCTCTTTCATCAGATTCTATATTCCTCCACTGTGGTCTCCAGTCAATGAAGTAATTACTGTTTATATGTGGTATATGATCCAAAACTGCAATGGGTAATGGAATTCTTCTATGTTGCATTCCAATATTTCACTTTTTCCCCCCAATGTTCAATACTTTATTAGTAGAGAATAAATTGGTACATTTCTTTTATTGTCATTTTTGCTTTCCTTTATAAACCAGTTTGGATGAAAGAAATACCACGGATAGTTAATCATCTAAAGGCTTGGTAGTGACAGTGGTTTCTTAAAAGAAAAATACATGATTAAGATTTGTTTTTAACATGTAAAAAATGTAACCCATAAAAAAACAGCCACAACTATACATTTGAGAACATGTGAGGTTTATACTGCATAACTGCTAGAGATCATATACAATTTTAAAAATTTAAAAATTTGCTTATCAGATTTAAACAGGTACAGAACATCAACAACTACAAAACAGAAAGT